AGGCTGGGTTTTCCGAATTTTTTTCTATATAGTAGTCATTAGACAGCTCTAGATTTAGAGGAAGAACTGATAAATCAGAGTTGATGCAGTACTGATGGAGAAAATGAATGGCTGGTCAAAAGCTGAAAGGATCCAGCTGACCTGCTATAAATCCATGTTGGCAGAAAAGCACATTGCTTACTTGCTTAAGAGATTCATTAGTATTAATATAGAAGTTCAGTAGGTCACAGAAGTCTCATGCTCTCCTCAAAGGCTTAGAATAGAAGAGCAAGGTAAAGGATTCAAATGCTCCTAATGCCAATACTCTCTGCTCTGCAGAGGCCTGGAGAAAACCCATCCCGTTCTCTGCTGTCAAATTAGCCACTTCAGCCATCTTATTTTTTGGTCAAATCTCCTAATTGCTTCAGCAACAGTCTTGTCTGACAAGGGACTCAAGGTCAAGGCCTTAATGTAATATTCTTCTGATTTTTTTTTTCCTCCAATATATTACACAATTAGATAGACTACTATACAGATAGAGTTGTGATTAAAATAATCTCAGTTAAAAAAAAACCACTGTGCAGTCCAATGGAAACTGAGTGAACAAAACTGCTGTTGTTAGACCTGAGCAGAAGTGAGGGCCCAGGTTTGTCACTGAGTGATTAGTATTACAGCCTAAATTTACTCTTGAAGGACTCCTTTCTGTTTTCTAAACCTGGTTCTTGTATGAAGAAGCAAAAAGGAAAAGATAAGGCCAAGAAGCGACTTTGGAGAACAGTGCTGAGGTTAGATGCTAATGTTTCCTAATTACTAAACTTGCAGGTTCTGTAAGGCTTCCACTTACTGTCAGTGGGCAAAGTTTATTTCTGCTCTCTAGTAGAAATGCTCTAGTTAGGTGAATTCAAACTTGCAGCTGTTTAACTTGCTTAACTGTGGAAGTGGTATGTATCAGAATTGTCTGTTTCATTTCTTCCCCATCAGAATGCATGTAATATAAATCAAATTTTAAAATCACAATTAATTTTGAGGATCAGTCATTATGGTGCTTATGAGATCTGTTCAGATAGTATTTCAGTAGTCTCACAGAAATCTAGTCTACATTTCTTGAAATAAGATTGTGAATGGAGGCCCCATATTGATTTCAAAGGAAATCTGTGCATGATTTGGAAAAGTAAACTTTCACTTTTTCAAACTTTTCCTCAGAATCTAGAAAAAGTGGTGAATCTATTTCAGCCATCCATGAGAGAAGGAAAACACTGTTGAATTTTTATGTTTAAACCTGGCCATTCCTACCATTTGCTGCAGGACCTCTTTTGTTCTGTCCACATCACTGCTTTTCTCTCACTGGATACATTTCTGTGGTAGCTAGATACAAGCTGTGTCTGCCAGAATAAGTCTGCAGAAATTTCTCAGTAGCTTTGTGCAGAGTCCTTACTCTTACTATTAGAGACAGTGAGAAGAAAAAAGATTTCTATCCCCGTCTCGGATGATAGAGCATGGCATTCTGTTACAGGTAGGCAATACTGAAAATCCTTACTCTGATAAAAAATATCACAAGAAAAAAATTCTATTGATGCAAATCTTTCATTATGCTAATTTTAAAATTGTCATAGATCTGAAAAGCTCTAACTTTATGAAAAGTATTGCTTTTAAAGATGATCTCCAGCCAATGCATGAGTTAGTGAGTGCTTGAAACTCCTGGAGGTGATGAGATACAAAAACAAGTACTGAGTCCAGTAAAGTAAAACAAGATGGACAGTGAAAAATAATTATTAAATGGAAAACCTACATACTCAAAGTAAGTAAAAATAGGTGTTCTGAAACTCTGAGTAGCTCTTTAATTCAAGACTATCACTATGATCCACTAAAACGTAGTGAGACTTCTGCTTAGTGTAACCTAGCTACATATACTGCCCAACTCTCCATGAAGAATTGTTTTCAACTTACAGTGACTCAAATAATGAAGACAGTTTGCTCCTTAAATAAAAGGACTGAAGAAACAGATGTGTTTTGCAATGCACAAGATGATGAAGCTAGGCTCTAATCAGTCTTTCCTGACAATACTACATTTATTTCCAGACTAGTCTCTAATTACAAATGCAAGGGCATGCAGCAGGAAGAGCTGACATGGATGTGGCCGACATCCAGAACTTTGATGGCATTAAATATCAAAACCAACCTTGTGTCTTCCTTAGAAATGAGGTCAAAGTTCGCTACAGACCCCAAGTGTTGCTCATGGTTCAAAAAACCCCAACCAAGCTACTGTTACCTGCAGCAGATAAGTTTGGTCAGAAAATATGGTACTGTGTCAAGTGCATTCCAGTAGTGTTATAGCTGGTTATTTGCTTTAATACTACATCTGTCTCAGATAAAGGTTCTGAGGTTCCCTCTTTATATTTGTAGCATCAGATGCTAAAAATGAGGCTTTTCACTGTGGAGAGTAGGGCAAAGCACTTGCCCTGTGATGTGAAACAGTGTATAAAGGCTGGAAGAGTTTCATTAATCACTATTTGGCATTTCCATGCTGCTACAGGGTCTAAGGAAGATGAAGCTTCAGCTGTTCACTGCTTCCCCTCAACCTGATAAGAATAGAGATGTATGAGTCTCATACACATTCTGCTGTATGTATATACTAACTAACCCAGACTGAGGTTGTAAGGAGTATGAAAATAATCTAAATTGCAGGGTGCCTTGTAGGGAATTACCTTCCATTTCCCCAGCAGCAAGCTGAGAGCCAGGAGAAAGAAATGACAACTCCTAGCATGACAACTCTTTCAGTTGATAGTTCCTAGGGCTGGGCAACGACGTGCCACCTCTTATGCAGTGTGAGATGTGAAATGTTAATTTATCCCTCAGGATATATGAGCTCAGAAGAAATCTGAAGACAGGTGAAAATGTAACAGTGTGTATTTTTCTAATATATGTGTGACTGAAGTGAATTTATGCACCAGGGTGAACAAGGAGATTTTTTTAAGGTTTACAAACACACCAAAGATACAGCAAAATAAAGGAAGCTTTTGTTTGTTTGTTTGTTTGTCAGATTAATTTCATTTCAGCTACACATCTCTTCCTGGTTCTACTACTCAGGCCAGGAAATCCAACCCCTTTCTTCCTGGAGGAAGTTACAAAAGTCTAAATATCAGCTATCTTTATGGTTCTGCAGTGTTTGATGGTCTGTCACAGCCAACGAAACCACGAGTTGCATCCCATGAACACAAAGTAACATTGTCTCAAGCATGGAATATTTTGAATCTGTAACAAATTCCAGCAATGTTGATTCATTCTCTTTTCCTAATGAGTTCTGTTCAGGTTCAAAAGAATGACAGCATATTGACTGTAGGGCTAGAACTAATACAAAATACTAAAATACTAATATGAAAAATATGTTGCCTTATATTATACTTTTTTTTAAAGCTATCTTACTATCCAGAAGTGAAGTACCAACATCATTCACAGCTATAACAAATATTAGAGAATCCCCGCCTACTATTGATATTAAGGCTCTTGAGCCCAAATCTGGAACCAGAACCTGATGTCACTGTTACAAAACCCGGCTATTAGATCTTCAAACTACCCAAGATAGTAGGATTCTTCTTTGATTCTAGAAAGTATTCCTGCACTGCCTTCAAAAAGCTAAATATTCATAATCTTTTATTTTGACATATTCCTAGTCCTGAATTTTATAAATGCTTGATCTAAAGCCAAAACTAGATGCAACTCTTACAGAGAAATATGTTATAGTATATTCTTTGGTGCAACTTGGTAATAGTGGTATGTGGTAGCAACATTACAGGCAGAACTAGAGGGATTTTTTCAAAAACACAACACCCAAGTTGTTGATGACGCACCAAGTACAATTTTGTGGGGGATGATATTTATCTCCCGTCACAAGAATAGCCCTCCACAGCCACTGATTTGTACTCCCAGACTGGCAGAAGTGCTCACAGAAACGCGTTTTCTTGAAAATTTTCTCATTCACTACACTTTTTTCCAACTGCTTCAGAGTCTAGGAGTCAAAAAACCACTAACATCAGAATATTGATTCATGCAGACAAGATTTTATTTCTGAAGGGAAGCAGGAGTCACCTGTACTTATAAATGCATATGTATTTTTATACATTCACGCACGTATGTATATTTACATGCATTGCTGCGCCTTCACGTGTAGATTTTGTACATTTGTATATAAATATGTATATGTATATGAATCGCTGTCAGGGCGGGCTGGCAGCACAGGGCTAGCAGCCAGCCGCCGAAGCCCGATGCCCTCGGCGGGGGGAACGCGGGGCGCTGCACAGGGGCGGACAGGTCCCCCCCGCCGACCCCGAACCGCGGAGCCCCGGCGGGGACGTGTCCGGCTTCCCAAGCGAGCGGCGCGCAGGCGCCCCTCAATTGCCAGCCCCGGTGAGATGCTCTCGGACGTGGGAAGGGGATCGCCCTGCCTTTCCCTGCCTCCTGCTTCCTTTCCGCTCCCCCTGCCCCACTTTTCCTCCAGACCCCTGGCTGGGATTTGTTACGAATTTTTTTTTTTTCCTTGTCGCTATTTTCTCTTTTAATCTTGCCCATCCCCAGGGGAACGCGGTTTGTAACCCACTCTCTGTAGCTCCCGCTCCTCCAAATAGCGTTATTTGAAAGGAGACCCGCCTGTTGATTATCCCCCACTCCCCTTCTCTGAGCTCCCACCCACCCTTTGCCCCCACCCCGCTTCCGTTTGATTCCAAACCTTCGGATGGTGTTTTGGTGTCATTAGGAGATTAACATCCCTGGAGCACCAGGGGAGGAGGAGTAGGAGGAGGAGGAGGGTGGAGGGGGAAAGCGAGACAGCAGGCAGGAAGGTTGGCACATTAACACGAGCGAGACTCTCCTCCCGCCGTCCCAGCCACCCTCGGCTCCTGGGTGGCAGCGGAGGGGGCGTTTGCCGGCGCGGCGGGTTGCGGACGGCGGCAGGCGGGTGCGCCCCGGACCCGCGCCCGCGGAGCGGCGGGCTTCCCAGCGCAGCCCTCCCTCCCTCCCTCCCTCCCTCCCTTTTATGAGCTGCGAGGCGGCGGAGCGGCAGCGGGGGACACCAGGAGGAGCATTTCTTCCCCGGGGTTTATGAATGGCACTGACATGGAGGAAATACCGTTTCAGAAAGTCAAGACCAAGAGGAAGAAGTGCTGCCACTGCTGCTGCTCCCCGCCGGCTGCCGCGGCGTCGGGAGCGGGAGCCGGGCTGGGGGACCCCCCTCCCTTGCTGCTGCTGGATGCCATCGCCTGCGAGGACGAGTTTGACTGCAAGGAGCTGGAGGCTCTCTTCCAGAGCTACAACCTGAAGCTGGAGCAGACGTCCACCCTCAAGGCGCTGGCCGTCCTCATTGTGCTCACCGCCAGCCTGGCCCTGGTGGAGCTGCTCTCCGGCCCCAGCCTGACCATCTCCAAAGGTTCGCACCCAGTGCACTGCATCATCTTCCTCTCCCTCTTCATCGTCACCAATGTCAAGTACCTGCAGGTCACCCAGCTGCAGCAGATCGTCAAGCTCACCTTGCTCTTCAGCTTCACCTTCTCCTTCCTCTGCTGCCCCTTCTCGCTCGGCGCCTACGGTATGGAGCCGCCCAGCGCCCCCGAGCAGGGCATGTGGCAGCTCATGCTGGTAACCTTCGTGTCCTACTCGCTGCTGCCCGTCCGGACTCTGCTGGCCATCGTCTTCGGGCTGGTGGTGTCCGTCTCCCACCTCATCGTTACCGCCACCTCCGTCAGTGCCAAGAGGCAGCGGCTCTGGAGGACGGTGAGAGAGGCCGGGCCGGGCCGGGC